ATGGAGGCGGCCCCTCCGGCCGCCGCCCGCGCCCTGGCCACCACCGCCGCCCGCGGGCAGCAGGCGGAGGAGGAGACCCCCGCCGCCCGCCGCGGTGAGTACGGCCGCGGGGGAGCCGCAGCCCCGGGCTGCGGTCGGGAGCCAGCCTTGCCCTTGGGGGGGCGGTGGGACACTGGCCTGGGCCACGGTGGCCGTAGCGAGGAGCTTTCCTGGGGACAGACCGAGTCGCCCTTAAGGAAAATAAAACCACCAAAAAGCCCCCTCCAAACTCACATGTCATAGAAGGAAGTTTCTGGAATGGGCAGCTTCGAGGTAAAGGTTGCTTAATCTTTTAAATGTCTGTGGTAACTAAGCATGGGCATAAACCCAGGACTGGCCTGTTAGGATGTTCTGCAGTAAGGTCTGGTTGGGGATCTGCGATCCTGGGTCACAGAGCTGGGGTTGCTCAGTTAAATGGTTCTGAATGGTTTGTGCCACATTAATTGTAAAGGTAGCGGACAGAAAAGCTTAAGTCGGTGTATTAAAATGCTGAAGTGCTTTCCCTTCTCTGCCCCCACCTCAGAGGCCAAAAATGTCAAAGAGGCGGCAGCCCAGCTGAATGGAGATGGAACCCAGCCACCGACTGGCCACCCACCTGCCGGTGCTAGCCAGAGCTCTGCTACCAAATGCCCGTTCCTGGCAGCTCAGATGAATCACAAGAACAGTAATGTTTTCTGCAAAGCCAGCCTAGAACTCCAAGAGGACGTGCAGGAAATGCAGGCGGACAGGAAAGGTGTGTATGCTGTGTGCTGATGTTGGTTCCTTCCAAGAGCTTCTGATGCCTGACTTTGCTCTAGTGTGCCAGGTCTAACAGTCACCACTTAAATGTTTAAATCCTGCAGGTAGGATTATGGGAGATAGCACTAAAAAGCTGTTGGAGAACACAGGTGTTAATGTTATACCTGCAGTATGGTGTGGTGTTTCCCCTGGGTGATTTTGGTGTGGGAATACTGTATGATCTATTTTGATAATGCTGGCTCTAAATATGTGAATCCAGTTGTTACAGCTATGCCCAAAACAGATGCTTGTGACTGAAGAGAGCTTTACTAGGGTGCTGGTGTATCCAGAGATGGAAGAAACTGGGTTGAGGTACTAGGCAAGTACCAGCACAAATCCAAGCTGGGAAGCAAACAAACTTTTTTGGTTTATGGAACTAAAGGGTGTTGGCTGGCTCACAATCCTTATGCGGAAGGGCTGTCCTTCAAAGGAAGGAACTTCTCACCAGTATCAGTAAAGCTTTGCTGTCTGTCTCAGGAAGTTTATTTTACTTTTCTGTTTGTTTTCTGTGGCATAGTTTTAAAAAAAAAAAAATCTGTGCTAACTCAACAAAGTACTAAGAACGAAAAGGAAGCAGCTGACCATAACTCTGCCTTCAGTTAGGTGTGTACCAACTATTTCAGATAAATGCTGTAGCTGTATAGAGTGGTTTTCTGAGTCATGATGAACCAGATGTGTTAAAAGGAAATTACATGTTGTATTGTCATTGATTAGCAAAGGGTTTTCCTTTGTCTTGTACAATGCAAAATTCTAAGCAAATAAAATACTTGATCCTAACAGAGACATCTGGATTCAAGCACATGCCTCCTAACAAATTAATAGTTAGTTACTTAAAATGTTTGCTTAACTTCATTTTGTTTCAAACTGATTAAGCTCACTGGAATTTATTACAATGTCTGTAGGTACAGAATTTGCCAAAATACCAACTACTTCCACAGTGAGGAACATTGAGACTGAGGGAGAAGAGCAGAGTGGCTTGCTCAGGAAGTTTAAGGATATTATGCTGAAGCAAAGGCCGGAAAGTGTTTCTCATCTGCTTCAGGATAATCTGCCAAAATGTAAGATTATCTGGCAGAACCCCCACAGGCCTGGTCTCTTGTGATTATTCCCTGTGTGCTTAAGTCTCTTGTCTTATTTCAGCTGTATCCACCTTTCAGTATGATCAGTTCTTTGAGAAAAAGATAGATGAAAAGAAGAAGGATCACACCTACCGAGTATTCAAAACAGTGAACCGAAAGGCACAAATCTTTCCCATGGCAGATGACTATACTGATTCTCTGATCACCAAGAAGGAGGTGTCTGTCTGGTGCAGCAATGATTACCTGGGGATGAGTCGTCACCCTCGTGTGTGTGGAGCAGTTATGTGAGTATTCTTAAGAGGCAGTTTCAAGCTGTAGTGCTCTGCAGAAGCTTTTGTGGGAAGGCTTCTGAAAAATTGATTTCTGACCTATGCTACAGAAGCTGCTTCTGCTATTATTCTTGGTATGTAATTAAGCTTATGCTTTTATTTTGAGCTGGGGGAGGTAACTTGTATATAGCTCAAGAGCTGCAGTATACCTGTCATTCACTAACCCTGCTCCTTGGATTTTCCTTAGAAGCCCCCAGATGTTACCAGATAAGATGGATGGTATATTGCAGCTGTACTTGGTAACTGATTTCTTAGTTTATCAGATTCCCAAGTTGTGCAGGTTGCTCAAAGACCTTAATCTTAACAGCTGCTTTTTGCAGTCAGTTCCTTTTTAGAAAAATACCAATTATATACTAGAATGTTTTCAGCAATGATCCTTTATTAATCTGTGTCGTGCAGTAACTCTAATGCCTCTTTTTGGTCCGTCTGCAGAGATACACTGAAACAACATGGTGCTGGAGCAGGAGGCACAAGAAATATTTCAGGAACAAGTAAATTTCATGTTGATTTGGAAAAAGAACTAGCTGATCTTCATGGAAAAGATGCAGCACTGTTGTTCTCATCTTGCTTTGTAGCCAACGACTCCACTCTCTTCACTCTAGCTAAAATGCTGCCAGGTAAGATCTCAGTCTGCACCCCCTATTTACCATGAAACCACAACCTTACCCTAAGTAGTTGGGAGTACATTTTACAAATGGCTACCCGAAGTGAGGATTCATCCTACTCAATCAACAAAATATGGTTGGTTTTAATGCCATATTCAGTTTCTGTTCAGCTCATGCTATTCATAGTAGTAGCCTACTGAGATTGAGATCTAGGAGCCAGAAACTGCAGAAGGAATTTAAACAAAAAGCAGCCTTCTGCTCCTGCATTTAAATTCCACCTGAAAATGAGGCAGAAGAATTTAGTGTCCACTTACCTGTGGGTATGAACTTCTTTCTCTCTAACTTCAGAAGTTAGCAGAGATAGATAAAAATATTAAGGACTTTAGAAAAACCCTTCTCTGTTTCCTTAAACTCAAGTTTGTGTAGTTTAAACACCTAAAATAAACCTTAAATATTCTTGCTTCGTGATCTTTTGATCAAGGGAATTGCTTTCTAGAACGTGCTACCCTTGCTGCCTGAACATTTCCCATACATAAAGCAATGTACTTTCTGTACTTAAAGTGTGACTGGGCTGTTTTCTCAGGCTGTGAGATCTACTCTGATTCTGGAAACCATGCCTCCATGATCCAGGGGATCCGTAACAGCAGGGTGCCAAAACACATATTTCGTCATAATGATGTTAACCATCTTCGAGAGCTGTTGGAGAAGTCTGACCCATCTACCCCTAAAATTGTTGCATTTGAAACTGTTCACTCAATGGATGGTAAGTTGACATCAAACCCTTCTCTTTTCAGTGCTGTTAATGTTCAGATTGTATTTTAGATCTAGATATGTACACTGCTATAAGGGTTAATATGAAATAGTCTTCTGAAATATCTGGTGTTTGGGGGTACTTCTAGTAGTTATCCAAGCTGAGTACAGGGAATCCAAAACTGCCAGTCACCATGTTGGTTCCTAGGTGCTGTCTGTCCTCTGGAAGAGCTGTGTGACGTGGCCCACGAGCATGGGGCAATCACTTTTGTGGATGAAGTGCATGCTGTGGGGCTGTATGGAGCTCAAGGTGGCGGTATAGGAGACCGGGATGGAATCATGCACAAGATGGACATCATCTCTGGAACACTTGGTGTGTATGGCCTGGCACTTCTACAGAAGCTAAGGCAGCAAAGCTTCTGAGCAGCCACATCAAGTGGGTTAACTCAGAATCTGTCTATTCAAATGAACTTGCTAAGGGCTGTTGGGCTAGGATTTTCCAAAAAGCCCAATGGATTTAAGTATACCCCACAGTTTGAAAAACTTGTGTTAAGCTCCTTACACTGCCTTACAAATCAGTTTAAGGTAGCATTGTTTTTTTTCTTAAAACAAGCTAGCAAAAAGTCCTCCAGTGACATATTGCACAACTCGAATAAATTCAGGTGAGAATGCTAGTAGGGTAGTACTCTATATTTAGTAGTACTTAATTCTTTTATGTGAAATAGCATTCCTAATCTAGAAACTTGAGATGGGGAGTTATGTAAAGAGATTTGGCAAGAACTGAAGCAACTGCTATTATTTGAGTAGAATGCAGGCTTAGGAGTAAGTTCACTGCTGCAAATTGCAAAGTTTGAACAACAGCTTCCAAAACATGAATACATTTTACTAGGAAAGCTCATGACTTTGAATTTGGGTTACAGCCTAACAAACAGAAACATTCAACAGACACCCTAGTTCTATCTGTGGTGCTGTTTGGGTACCTGAACATCTGGAAAGGGGGCCTGATATCAACCACATAATCACAGTAACAACCTTGTGTGCTCCTTAGAAGCATAGGCTATTTCTAGCATCTCTGAAACAGATTATTTTAAATCTGGGAGACTTAGGGTCAGTACTGAAGTCTGTGCTTGATGATTTGGCTTATAAGGTCTTCTCCAAAATCAGAACTTGAGCATTTGAGAGTCTTGAACTGTCCTTGATGTGTAATAACTAGATCCGTGTTACCAGGATTGGTTTAGAAACAAAGCTGTAACGTGTGCTGAGTAAATATAAGATTAGCAGAGAGGGGCTAGAACTGTTGCCTGTCATGAGTGCATTAGGT